ATAATTCAAGTATTAAATATAAATAAGCATGTAAAAACAAGAATTGACTAAGTAGCTTTAGATGAACACATCCTACAGTTAAAGTCTTCATACAAAATTATGGAGAATATTTCAATTTTTTTCTCACAATTGTCTGCATGGTTTTCTGCAAGAGATTACATGACTTCTTTTCAATTTAACACAAAATAGTTCAAACAATATTGATAGTCTGAAAAGAGAAAATTATATATAACCTTATTTTAAAAGAAAAATTAGTTGAGATTACAAAATAAGCTTACTGTAATTACTTTAAGGTGAAGCAATTAAGTTTCAATAGAATAAACTTATTACTAAATTTAAAATGAAAGCAAAGGATCAGATTTTTTTATATATAAGACATATATATATATATATTATGTAAAAGAATGAAGAAATAAATAATGATGACTGCTCTAAAACATACATCTCCAAAATTTTAAATGCAGTAAGGAACCTATAATTTGAAAGACTGGAGACCATTTGCTATCTTGGATGCTTGAATTTTCCAGTTTTTTTGGATCGCTTAAAAATGATTCAATACAGCTTAACTATATTCTTACTTTAATATTGAAAAAAAAAATAACCACATTTTAGCAGTTTTAGTTTTTAATTAAAAATTTGTATTTTCCCTTTACTTATTTTACATTATTTATATTGGAAAGCAAAGCAATGAATTTTTCTCATTATTTTCATACCACCTTCTGTTTGCCGATATTTCCTTTCGTAAATCAAAGCGAAAAATAAAATCATTCGTTTTATCTGATTTCGTTTATGAGATGCTTATTTCACTTTCAAAAATAAAATTAATTTTTTTTAAAAAAGTCACAATTTCACCATTCTAACTGAACAGAAACTGATTTGAGAAGAATTTCCTTCTCTGCTTTGTGTAACTGCACTTTACCCCCAATTACGTCAATACATTTGACTTTCAGGCTTAGAGAATTGAACAGAAAGTGGTTGGTTTTTTCCAATGGGTGAAAAGCATTGTTTTTTGGCATTCAATTTACAAACTGGTGATTACCTGTATTATCAACTTTAGGTGCCATCACGGATTCTAAGCATAAGATCTTGGCACAGCTTGTTAAATTTTGGTTTAGTTAATACACATCCTTTCAAGAGTTTAGCTATTTTGAAAATGATTTTAATACTTTATGAAATAAAAATCAAAACACTTTTAATAAATTCAGTGATTTTCAAACAAATTTCGTCAGAATTAGGTGGTGGCAAAAGCATTGAAATTAGTAACAAGAGTCAATAATTTACTGACAGAAAGTTTTTTAATTGAGATTATGGGTTTACTCTATTTTGTTTAAGTCTGTCGCTCCTTTAAGTATGATTGAAATGGAAAAAAATAATCCACCCCCCACTTTTCCATCTACTCAGATAAAAATAGTTCTAGATAAAAAATATTGGGGAAACCGAGCTAGGTCATTTCTAAAAAACGGATTTCATCTTCTGCACACTGATAAGTATGTCTAATGTATTTCTCCCTCTAAAAACAAAGAGGAATGAAATCAGCATGCTTCTCCTATACGTTTGATTGACAGTAGCTAATTGAAAAACATTGATTCTTCTATATACACAGGAGAAAATTTTAAAAAATGTCCCTTCCCCACCCAAAAGATCTTCAAGGTTAAGAACTACCATTGTAGTTTTCTCTTGACAAACAGGGAGAGAAAAAATCCCCTCACCTTGCCCTCTACCAGAAGCGTGACTAGACTTTCTGCATATTGCCTAGTTTAAAATGGTGGGAAAACCGAGTAATATTTTTCCTGTTTTTTTGATATACTGGAGAAAAGGAGCAGTTTTGGCAAAATAACAAGATAAAAAAGCATACTAAATCAATAGGTACTAGTATTAAACAAATTGGAAACAAAATACCTATTATATATTTGATAGTTACACCATACTAGAACTTCACTAATGTATTATTAGCAATAGTCTGTGTGTGATTCATTATTGGCAACGATATCAAGACAATACTATTGCATGTACACACAGCAATACCCCAATTTAGATCTATTTTTCATCTTTCATATCTTATCATTTTTAGATGGTAGTAGTAATTACGCAGTCATCATAACTTGTTTTTCAATCACACATGAAGCGGTTATTTTTCTAGTAGTAAAATAGACTATGCTTCGTTTGTAAAAAATACAATATTCATTAAATACATATTTGAATTATAAACCAAAAAAAAGATTTATACACATAACATATAAATAAACTGCAATTTCGCGGAGATATGCCGCATTTTTAAAAGTTGACTAAAAATGAAAAGATTTTCATCAGAAAGGCCACATCATCGAATACGCCGAAACATAACTTCACTGTGTGATTGATTGCAGAGTTAACACACCTGTTACAAATTACAAGTTATATAGAAAATAAATGATTAAACGTTTGAAGAGTAATTAAAATAATTATTAAGCATATAATAGATTAATATACAATTTTACTTGAAATCAGAAATTACGTATTTTGATCATTTTCATCATAACTTTTCAAATGTATGCTAAATTGTAGGGTGTACAATTGTGTACAATTCAAACGCAATACAATCACAAAAGCATTACATTAATAAATACTAATTTAAAATACTAGAATTTTATGTAAACCAAGTGATTAAGAACCGAAATATAATAAAAGTAAAATCAAAATACAATAAATTGATGAAAAGAATCTTATTAGGCAAAAAATTTTACCATATAGAACAACTGCAATCACATCACTTCGCTTTATCAGAATTTGATTTGAAATACTAAACTATTATTAAATCAAATAATTAAACAGCTAAAAATCCTTACAATAATTCAAAAAAATATTAAGAATAATTAAATTAAATAGAGCAAAACTTGTTTTGTGAAAAATTGAACTACACAAAACAATCATGAAAGCATTTCGTTTCTTTTTACTAATTTTAAATTTCTAAAATTATAACCTATCAAACCTAAAACATTCAAAATAATTTTTAAAGAATAAAGATATAAAAAATATGCAAATACTCTCGTTTTGTGCAAAATTAAAGCATAAAATGATCAAAAACGTATTGTTTCTTATATAATAATTTATAATATCCCAGTTATATAAGTAAATCAAATGATTAAACAACTAAAAATTAATAAAATAAATGTTAAATATACAATAAATAAAGCAGTTCAAACATTCCTCTTTAATCCGTGTGTTCATTTTAAGAAAATATCTCTAAATTTCAAAGTTGTAAATTTTGAAATTTAGTAATCGCCGACCGGCCTGTGTAAGGGGCACGGAACTGTCCTTGCATCAGAAAGGTTCTGGGTTCAAATCCCGGACAAGGCATGGATGTTTCTTTCTCTCTATCTGTGTTCTATGTACTTTTTCCTTTGTGTGTGAATGTGACCTGCCCTATAAACGGGTTGAGGTAGTATGACATGGGCGATGCTGCTCCACTGCCGTGGCTTTGCCACAGGTGCCCACTGGGTAACGAAAAGAGAGTTAGCAGTTCTGGAACTCTCTGTGGCCAATGGACAATAGTTCCAAGTGCCCGCCATTAAAAAGAAAATAATAAAAAAAATAAAATTTAGTTATCGTAAATAATAAAGTTAACACGACCTTATCATGGCTCTTGGTGGTGCTGGTCATAAGATCCTTTCTGTGATTTTCTCAGAGCCAAGACTGACTAAAGAATTCAGAATTACTCGATGGAACTTGAGCAAGGCTAACTGGAAGAAGTATGCAGAATTAACAGATTCACTTTTGGGAAACTGCCCTTTACATAAAAATAATGACACGCCCTTGATCGGATCGTGATCACAATCTTGCAATGTGCCAATGCTTGTGTCCAGGGGTCACATTAAAAATGCAAAACCTTTCTGGAATGATAAACTTCAGGCGCACAAGGAAGAAAAAGACCATGCAAGAGCTAGGGCAGAATCCACTGGCCTCCTAGAGGATTGTATCTCCTTAAGAAAAAGCCAGGCCATTTTAAAGAAAGATTTTAAATTCAAAACGCTCTTCTTTTAGCAAGTTTTTGGAAAATATGAACTATCGAAAAGATGGACCAAAAGCTTTTAGATTTCTATCTGCTCTAAATGGAAAGCGCACACAACCTTGCAAACAACCTTTGAAGGTTGGCAATAGAACTTTAACCTCAAACCAAGATATTGCCAAAGCGTTTTTGAAACTTTATCGCAAGATTAGTAATTTTTACCCGATGACTAGGATTAAGAGGGGTGAAATAAATCCCTCTGGTGATAACCCAGAATGAAACTGCCTTTTCTCCTCACCTTTCACTGTTAAGGAATTTCAGAGAGGAATCTGTTGCTTGAAGAGAGGAAAGAGTGCTGGTCCTGATGGCATCCTCTCTGAATTTATTTTGGAACTTGGCGTTAAAGCTAAACAAACAATCCTTAATTTAATAAACAAAACTTGGGGTGGCACTTTCCCGAGCCTCTGGAGAAAGGCAGACGTTATACCTATTTTGAAACATGGAAAAGACCCGACGGACATCCAAAATTTTAGACCAATTTCCTTGACCTGTATCCTAAGTAAGCTAACTGAAAGAATGGTCGTTGATCGGCTTCAGTTTTTTTTTGGACTATGGTGGCCATATCTCTGAGAGACAGGCTGGTTTTAGACGTGGATACAATACAACCGAACAAATCGTCAGACTTTCACAGCATATTAAGGACGGCTTCCAGAGGAAGCAAAGTACACTTGCTTCTTCGTTGATTTTAAATCGGCGTTTGACAGAGTTTGGAGAAAATTGCTTCTTAGGAAGTTGCTTCATAAGAAAGTGTATGGAAATCTTTTTAAGTGGATTAGTGATTTTCTTTCACAGAGATTCTTGAACATTAAATATGGCAATTCTCAATCAGGGTATGGGCAAACCATGCAAGGCCTTCCACAGGGCTCAGTTTTAAGTCCTGTCCTCTGTAATGTTATGGTAAATGACCTTTTGAGCTACATTAAAAATGCTGTTCCAGAGACTGAATCATTGTTGTATGCCGATGACCTTGTTATTTGGTCTACTGGCTCTGATATCTCTATGCTGGAGAAAACACTCAATTTGACTTTAGAGGCTCTGACAACCTGGACCCTGGACAACGAATTCAAGGTTAATCCTGAAAAGACAAATTTTGAACTTTTTACCCTTAGTACCAAAAAGTTTAATGTTAACTTGGTATACAAAAATAGTACTCTGGGTCGGATCGATTGTGCTACCTACTTGGGCATAACTCTTGATACCAGACTGACCTGGACTAAATACATAAATCAAGTGGCAGATAGCGTGACAAATCGCCTTGGTCTATTGAAACGTCTCGCTGGAATAAAGTGGGGTTCATCCCAAAGTGTCCTTGCTTCCACTTTTACTTTGTACATTAAACCAGTATTTGACTATGGTTCAGAAATCCTTGTTACTGCCTCGGACAGTGCGTTATCAAAACTCGATTTGGTTCAAAACAAAGCACTAAGGCTCATCACTGGTTCTGCGATCTCAACCCCTATTTCTGCCATGCAGCTACAGACAGAAATTTATAATTTATCTGACAAACGACCTTATGCTGTCCTTTCTCTTGGTGAAAGATTGTTGAGAAAGGAGCACTTCTGGCCATACTACAATCTTCCTCAAACTAGACTTAAATCTCAACATTAAGTCTCCAACTCCAAACTTTGCATCTATTGGCCACCTGTTTTTACGGGCCTTCTGAGATATGCCACTGCCAGATTCGACTTGGTACTGCCTGTTCGGAAATCGGACTTCCACCAGACCGAGTTGTATCCTATCCCTCTGGCCACTATACACGAGAGATACCCTTACGAGCAATGGCTGCAGGGTTTTACTGATGGATCCGCCACTTTTTTAACTGGTAGAGCTGGAGCCGGTGCTTACTCCAAATATTTCTGCCTCAGAGAACCTCTTGACACTTGAGCAGATAATTTTGATGGAGAAGTGTTTGCAATCCTTATGGCTATTACAGCTATTGGTGAACCATCTGAACAAAACATTGTTATCTTTGTCGATTCTCAGGCTGCTATTCAGACCATTTCTGAATATAATTTATATCCCTCTGAACTCGAATTTAAGTGTAAACAACGCATTGACTCTCTTCTTTGTTCTGGAAGAGAGGTAGTCCTCCAGTGGATCCCTGGCCACTGTGGCATTTACGGAAATGAACGGGCTGACATGTTGGCAAGAGAGGCTTCAGCACTGCACCCATCTTCTCATCCAGTTCCCCTTAGAAATGCAAGGCGGCTTCTTAAGAGCAAATGCAGGCACAGAACAATATCTGCTCTTAGGGACTTAGCTGATGGAAAATCCTGGACTAGCCTTCTTGATGACCAACAGCGCTCTCACCTTTCCCTCCTTCCCAGAGTTGAGGGAGTTGCTTGCCTTAGATTAATTACTGGACATGACTACTTGCAGGCCCATTTATTTAAAATTAACTTGGTCAACTCACCTCTTTGTGTGCTCTGTAACACTTCGCCTATGACTGGGGAGCATTTATTTGATTGCCCCTCTCTTCTTGACATTCGTTCCTGTGATGACTTTTGTGCCCTCTCACCTTCTGGAGCTACTTCAGTGTTGTAATGGACTGCAAGACGCCTTACGTCTGAGAAAACGATGGCGGGCGTAATTTTAAAAAAAAAAAAAAAACTCTCAGTTGAAAGTGGGGATAAACTTAACCTTCAAGATAGTATTTCACCCCACTCATTCCCGTTAGAGAATGACTAGCATATTTTTTTTTACACCTGCAACAGAAGAAAGGGGATTGTCTATCCTTTTTAGAGACTATTTGTGGGGTGGTTGAGGGAGGGAAATTTGTCGTCATTTTTACAAACTGTTTTTCACCTGCATTGTTCATTGTTTAAATTATTAATCAACATAAATTATAAAAATAGATTAATGCAAAAGATAAAAAGGGAAAGGATAATAATGAAATTTCAGAGAATCAATTCAACAAAATAGAATTTTGAATTCAAATAGTTAAAATGAAGCCTTCGGATAGGCCACTCTATTAGATACATCGCATATACCAAAAATTAATGTTTTAAATCATAAAAGTCGCAGTGTATCTCTGCGAAATTACAGTATATACAATGATTAACAAAATTTATTACCAAACAGAGAATATATTGCCAAATATAAAAAATTGTACTAAGTGCTCAATGTAGAATTTTTTTTAACATATTCATCAAAATAATGTAAAATCGCATGATGCATAAAAAATTAACAAATTTGGCAATTGAAAGTTGATGAGATTTCATATTTTAGTCCTTTTCTTACAAAATTAACATCACCAAATTCAGGACAATTTCAAATAATAGTATAGACCACTAGTAATCGTACAATTTAATAAAGTGATTTAGTGGATGTAGGCATATAAAAACATTCATTTAAAAACAATGTGAAAAATTGCAGGTCAGTTTCCACAGGCGGTTGATTACGGTGAGAAAATTTAAAGTTTTTGAGGGCAAGTGAGAGTTTTTAAGGTGAGTTTTTACAAGAGAATAAAAGTAATAAATACTTTTTTTTTTAACCAGCAAAATTTGGGTACGTTGTGAATGTTTCACTAGAGCAACATTATGCTATCGAAATTCTATGTTGCAAATTATGCTATCAAAATTCAGTTTGGAGAAAAGAATGCAATCACCTGGACTTCACACTGCGTTCCTAAACCTCCCAATGACGTGTGGACATTTACGGTTCTGAAATGGCCAGACACATTACATAAAAATATATTCCAGACCAGAATATATATATGATCAGAAAAACTGCAATCCAATCAAACGTCCAGCCATCAGGACGAAGAATTGTGAAACTAATTATTGCTTAAAAGTGCTGCACCTTAATATATATTTAGTAGATTTTAGTGAGATTCACTAAATAATTAATATTTTCCTGATCAAACCAAAAGTTTAAATAAGTAGAATGCGAAAAAAAAACAATCTATTTTTTAGAAATATTATACCTTGAAAGTAGTTGTTACTAACACAAGATCTATAAAAAAAATAATGATTTTTTCAAATTGCATATCACAATTCCACTTAAGTCTTTTGTTATTTATTAAGGAATATGTTACTGAAGATTCTTTAACAAGTTTGAGTCAAAAAAACTCTTCTAGTATGTTATGTAAAATTGCAAACAAAATATTGAAAACCATTTTACAATTACCTCAAGTAAAAGGTTAAAAAACCTGAATTTGTCCATATGAAATTTATAATAATAGAAGACATATTTGTGGAGGCAGCAGTTGAATGTGTTTGATGAAAGAGCAGAAAGCTCTGCTAAGGAAATGAAAAATATAATGATTCACCAATTTATTATATCAACAATATTTAAGAGGCAAATTTCTTAAAAAATATGGATACTCAAAATTACAGTAAAAAATGGATTTACCTTCATTATTATGATATTCAAATTAGAAGTTCAACACTCGATGAAGTTTGAGAATGACTAGAAACATTAGCACTGATAGTGCTTGCATGCACTTGAGCACTCTGAATAGTAGATTGAGAAGGTTTTGAGGTGACACTTGAAGATGAAGAGACTTGGCGTGAAGAGAGCCTACTGTTTGGTTGCAAAGTTATATCTGGGCCACCACCATAAATGTTTTGTAAATATAAATACATTTCTTTGGAAACAGAGCAATAGTCTGAACCTAAAAAATAAAATATTTTAATATCATGAAACAATAAGTAAACTAAAAATTAAGAATGCATTATAACTTACCAAGTTTAAGGATAGCTTGGTTGTTTTTCACATAGCAAATTGAGCTATTATCTATTGGTCCAGGTTGTTCTAAAATATAAAGATTTCCTTTTGCAAAATAAATGTATGTAATGAAAAATACACATGTATAAAATTAAAGAAAATTTAGTGAAATTCCTGACTTTAATTATACATCTTACAGAAAAGTCAGGCTGCTAGTTAAATTTTTCTTGGTTAAAACAATCAGTAATTAATACAGGAACTTTCCCCATGTCTTAACACTTTGTGGGGGAAAAATGTTCCCCAAATTTTTACTCATGAAAATTGTGGAAATCATATCCACATTCAAATCATATCCACATATCATCAATTACTCATAAATGTTTCTTACATTAAAACTGTATATAAATTACAAAATGTTAAACATTAAAAAAATAAAGAATTATTATTTTTATTTATTATCACTTATTTCAATTGCATAGACATTGGAAAAAATTATCCTAAAACCATAAGATGAAACTCTTGAAAAGTGGAAAGCTACAGAGGTTGTTGAATTTATGGATAAAATAAAAAGTCACAAACTTAAAATTACATTTTCTCAGAACTAAGCTTTACACAGACATCACAACTCTATTAATTTTTACACAGTGTATTAAAAATTTTAACAGTGAGTATATAACAAATGCAGTTCAAATTACACATAGAATTTTTTAATTACATTTATAAATTTTGTTTATTTAAATAAAAAAATTGAACTAAAAAGGAAGATTGAGTTTTTCATTCGATTAATTGCAAACCAAAAATGTTATAAAATAAATATGAACAGAATTGCTGTTAAAATTTTAAGTGAATCAGGTGAACATTTTATGATGTTATCGTGTTTGAAAAATGCTGTTTCGAGGAAAAGGTATTAAAAGTTTAAAAAAGGTTATTTCAACTATAGCCATACTAATGCATATCCTTTAATTGCTTCTGAATTTATATAACAACTACAAAGATTTTTTTTAAAGTGGTAGCAGTCACACACTAATATACTATTTTTGGCTTAATGAATGGAATTTAAAAGAAATATGACAACCACTACCAATAAATAGTTGTAGAACACGTATAAAATAAAAAGGCATGAAATCAATAAGAGTTAGTGAAATGTTTCAAAAACTCAATATAAATGATTAATTTTTCACTTTAGTTTACTACCATTTCCTGAAATATTTCACAATATTAACTGTTAGAAGATAGGCTAATAGAAAAAGCGTGGAGTTTTTTTTAAAAAAACTTTTTCACTACACAAGTTTCAACTTATAATTTTAAGACAATACTTTCAAAACTGCATATTTTAAAAGTATGGAGAAAAAGTGATTTTTGAAAATTTTACATGGTGTTCTATTGAAAAGTTTTTTGCAGTTAACTTTAATAAAGGAATCTGTCAGCTTTAAAATACAGTTACACTCACATGAATTTTTGTAAATATTCCGAAAGAATACCAAATATTATAATTAAGTTGCATAAAAATTTTTAAATAACATGTTTATAAAATTGTGCATAAACTGAAACAAATTAATAGGATTATTAACATTTAGCAGTTTAATAAGCTGGGAGAGAATTTTTTAATTTTTCTTTAATTTTTAACCATTATTTAAATAAAGAAAAGCCTTGGAATAGGCCTTCGAATACATAAAATTAACATTTAATTTTGCAATTTTTTTAAAACCTTTAAATAAAATTATATTTGAATTACTTTTCTTTCCAGCTTTTAAACATTGCCACAGAGAAAATAGTAAATAAAACTGACCTGAATAAAACTAAACAATGTGAAACAAGTTTACATAATGCCACATAAACAGATATGTTATGGTTTTGGTTCTATAATTATGAACCTTACTCAGTGTTAAAACAAAAATTAAAGAGCAAGACAAAGAGATGAAGAATATCACAAAAAAGTTAGGACAAGTAAAAAAAAAAGAGGGGATTGATCAATCAAGTAAAGAGAACAAGCTTGAACAAGGTAATCGAACCAAAGAAGGGAGAAAGGAAAAAGGTGTGGTTGGGATAGGGTAAGACCCTCAGATGTCACAAAATTAAAAGAATGCAACATTAGAAAGGTCCTTAACTCCATTAACTGAATTTTTCAAAATATGATATCCTCAGAAGTCTAGGTTAGGTCCCATGCCTAAGGAACAGTGTTGTATAATAACAAACGAAAACTTGAACCAATGATTAGAATTTCAGTTATGTAAGGCGAAGGATGATCGAAGGAAAATCTAGATTTTAAACATATCTTTCATATACTTTAAAATCGAAGTGCAAGGGTATGTTTAGTTTGTCTAATGTACACAAGATCTTACAGACAAGAAATTTAATGAACACTCCAGTTTTTAACGTCAGCAATAGGATTTTTAAAGTTAATTAGTTCAGTTTCTAGACAGGAGAAAAAAACATCTTCAAATACAAAAAACACAACCAAAACACAATAGTAAATTAGAGTCCACCTCTAATTTATTCAGCATTTTAAAAATTTATAGACTGATCCCAGCACAATATTAGATTGCTTGACTGATTTTCTATACATAAAATAAATAATATTAGAAGAACATAGTTAACAGTGATAGCTTTAATGAAGGCAAAGGAATTCTTTATAAATGAAATTACAATCAGAACAAATTTAAGAATAATATACAAGCATGCAAATGGCAGTCTTAGAAAAGTAATCTTTTGTAATCTGGCCAGGCTAAAAGGTTATAAGTGGTGTGAAAACATAAACAATTTTCTATAAACAGTAAAGAGAAATTAAAATTACACTTAGTAAGAATGTCTAAGAAAGGTAAAAAGTTACTATTATCTTGTTCAAATATGAATACTGGGATCAAAAGAAATAATAATATTAGAACATGGTAACCATTGTTAACATAAGTACATCTGCTTTATGAGTATGTATTGCCACACAAGCTGACATGTCATTAATATGACTGTTTACGTTATTTGGACACTTTTCTTGTTGTTTAGCTTCATTGATATATAACACAAAGTTAACCCTTTCTTCACTTTAAAAATTGGTCTGTTTTTCTTTAGAACGTGTATAAAAAAAGTTTAACTAAAACAGTTCAAAAGCTTTCTTATTTTTTCAGTTTAAATATAAAATTAATTACCGTATTTTTTGGCGAAAGCGCCGCTTCGTCGCAAGCGCCGCACCTCGATAAAAATGAAATTTTTTAAAAAAAAGTTATAGTAAGCGCCGCAATGGTGCTAAGCCGCGAATATCAGCATCCATTTAGAAGAGACCTTTAAATTACCATTTAGAGTATTTGTATAATAAAAAATTACATTTTTTTATGCATTTCATAAAGTAAAGTTTTAATTTCTAAATTATAATAAAAAATTTCTTTTTCAGCAAAAAAAAA